CTCTCTCTCTCTCTCTCTCTCTCTCTCTCTCACTCACTCTCACATATATATTTATGTATGGATATAATTTACATCAAAAACATTGCATATACAGTATTGTCGTAATAAATGACACCTAAAACTAGTTAATCATATATTAGTTAATAAATGTTAGAAAAACCAGTCGTATGTGCAGTACATGTGTGTTGTTATGTGCGAAAGGGAAAGGTATTCAATAATTTAAATGTATATGTAGTGAGAAATTATTGAAAAAATATAAAACATTTTGAAGAGAGAGAGAGAGAGAGAGAGAGCTATTGATTTGAATTTCAGACATAGCTTTCCAGACGTTAAAAAACAAAATCTCAAATAAAAGTAAAAAAACGCAAAAAATAACACAAAGTTTTGTCTCTCAATAGGAAAGGGAGAAAATTTTATTTTCCACTTTTATATATACAGTACATTTGTTTGTGATCTGTTGTCGTGTTTTATAGCCTACGCTTATAAAAAGTAACCAAATTTAATTAAATTGAACACTCGGTTTACTCTATTAGGATCTAACGGTATACCGGGTTCGGTGGAAAGGGTACGGACCCCAGAGTGACACGTGGGAACCGGAGGACAATTTGCGTACCATATGGAAAATGGTCGAAAAGTATAAAGCTAAATTGACGCATAACAACACTAATCATATTAGCACCCGAACCACTTCGTCATCCCTGCTATCGGCACCCGTATCGACAAATACCCGACGCAGGGGTCGACCGGCAGCCGCTAATCCAACCCACGCTAACAACACAAGTAATACTATCACTACCGCCGGCGCTACTATCGGACCAAAGCCTATCAGCTCTCATATGAACGGAAAACTGGTCAACGGTGGCGGAGGGGGTCCGGGTGTTGAGGCGGTCCCCGACCGACGGACCACTCTATTAAGTAGCCGCCGAGGAGTCAATAAAGCGAGTCTCAAACTTCATATAAATAGTAATCATAAGAATATCAATAATAATAATAACAATAATAATAATCACAAAATGAACGCCAAAAATATTAACAACAATAATAATGTGGTTAAACACGCGGTGAAGACAAGTGAGCGCCGGCTAGTGATCCGGAAGAGCCATAAGAAGCGTTTGAGGTATTGTTTCACAACCGAGAAGAGCAAAAACACGTTCTGGAAAGACCTGGAAGAGGGCCGCATCGATGTGTTCAAAGAGGACCTGTACTCGCGGGTCAAGTCGCGGGCCTCGTCGCGGGGCAACTCCGGCGAGAACTCGCCCAAACAGCCGACGCCCACCGACGCGGGATCGCCGCACACCGGCGATAGTGTCGCTAATTGTAATGATAATACAAACCACACAAACGACGAGAATTGTTACGCCGAGAACGGCACCGGTAGTGCCGGTGGTGCTACTGATCCCATGGTTGCGGCCGATAATGACGATAGCGATAAGTATACGCTGAACGCCGACCTGCGGGTAAAGTTGTGCAAAACGGAAGCACTGATGGCTGCGATTACGGCCGGCGACCGAGAGTTGGCCCGCATATTGTTGGCTAACGGGTCGGACGCGAACGCCACGGAAGGCCAGCGGAACGGTTCCACACCTTTGATGGTGTGTTGCGAACGCAATAACATAGATATGACCGCATTCTTGCTCTCTGTCGGCGCTCTCAAAGACGTCCACAACCGGAACGGAGACACGGCTTTGATTATTGTGAGTATTGCAGGGATTGGGGGCGGATAGGGATGGGATAGGGATTGTGGGAATGGCTGGTATTCGTGACATTTTGCTAAATATTGTAAATTATTAATTGTAAATATACAACATTTAATTCGTTGTTAAATTTATTTGTGTAATACTAATATACTCTATATCTCGTAAATGTCTGAACCCAACCCCACCCCCAATAGGCCAGTCGTTTGGGTCACGACGAGATCGTTAAATTGTTGCTGAATTATGGCTCAAACTTCGCCCAAACTAACAGAAAGGGCACAAACGCCTTGCGATGCGCCCGACTGAGTGGCCACGAGTCCACTCAACGCACACTTATTGATCACATATCCAGGTTTATTATATTGATACTTTAAATTGTGATACATTCATGTTGTGCCTAATGTTCATCGCTCTAACTGTCATTTCCCGTTCATAGGTTGGCCCTATCGCTAGAGGATCAGGTGATGGACACGCTGTGCAATACGGCCCGTATAGTTAACGCCTTGTTTCCCATACAATGCTATTCTATGAATGAATGTCAAGAATTCAAATTATCGTTTGAGTTTGATTTAGACAGACGTGTGCAGCACAACGAGCCGGGTATGTGTTTGTGCCACTATTTATCAATCTATCGATTCATCTCTCTCTCTCTCTCTCTCTCTCTCTCTCTCTCTCTCTCTCTTTCTTTCTTNCTCTCTCTCTCTCTCTCTCTCTCTCTCTTTCTTTCTTTCTCTCTCTCTCGTTCATTCATTTATTGAATTCCCAAAATTTAGCACTAATTGATTGTTTAAATGGTTTGCCGTTTAGGTGTGGGTTATATCCTATTCGTGGCCAACACTAGTATTTCGCAAAATGGCATTAAATGTCAATTTTCGGGACCGGATGTCATACAAGAGGTTCATCTCAACAAAACAGTACAAAAACCTTTAACTGAGGTATGCGTCAGAAATATATACCATATTCTATGATGGAAAGGGAGGGCAGGGGTTATGAGCTCTATATTTATACATTACATGCGCACACAGGGAGCACAATATGTCTTCTCATTCTTACCGCTGGTTCGCGGGACCAATGAATTGGTGATAAAGACAACCCATAGTCGACCCGTAGGAGAGGTGGCGGAGGACGTGGACGCACGGCATGAGCGGCACCGGGAGGCCAATAGTCATATAAAGTTAATGGTCTGCGCCTATGAAATACAATTGATTGCCAATAACACCCATAATGATGGCGCCGGTAGTGATGGCTGTAATCATAATAAAACTAATTGTGAATCAAATTAATGTTAACTTATATTTAGGCCATTTATACAAATATCTATAATAACTTTATTATTTATATATTTTTTTAACAGTGTTTCTAATTCATTAATTTTATTATTAATTATTCTGTTTGTTTAAATTTTAGTTGTATTTTAAATTTGCAATTATGTTATATAAGATATTAATACTTATCGATTATTGTTAATATCATTGTTATTCTGATAGTTATTCATAATATTATTATTGATATATTCTGTGAGATTTATGTGAATTATTAGTTAAAATTTTTATTAACTTAATTGTCATTTAATTAATGAAACCTAAAATTAAAGTTATGAGAGGGAATATAAATGTCAGAAATGTATGCATAATACGATATTTCCCCAAAAGTTCTTACCCACAGAATATTCTGTATATAACGTTACGCTTATTACCGGTTGAGTTGTTTCTGGCGTAACATTTGCCGCACATAATGTTGTTTGTAATTATATTATATACTGTTTTAATACTGTTTAATAAAACAAGATTATTCTGTTATAATACACATAACCAGTGTTTTGAATTATTTGATTTTTATAAATTCTAAATACAATTAATGGAAATCAATCACAAGTGTTATTACAAATAGATGTATTTTGTAATATTAATTAAGCATTTATTATAACAGGTATTGTATAACAGTGTTTTGAATTATTTGATTTTTATAAATTCTAAATACAATTAATGGAAATCAATCACAAGTGTTATTACAAATAGATGTATTTTGTAATATTAATTAAGCATTTATTATAACAGGTATTGTATAAAAGGTATAGAAATGAAATTTTAAATATTTGAAACCCAATATGAAATTCGATAATAATATTGTACAGTGTGTTCAAGCATTAACGCGTGTTTTGATTTTTTTATTATTCAAAAAGTACAAAAGATATTTTAATCAAATCAATTGCAAATTAAAGATAAATGTTTGGCATTTAATTAAAAATATTTAGTCTGGAAAGCTATGTCTGAAATTCAAATCAATAGCTCTCTCTCTCTCTATTTCTCTGTCAAAACCTACCCGTAATGTGAAATAGTGTACTGAACTGTATATGCTTTAGGGAGAGAGAGAGAGAGAGAGAGAGTCGCGTGCTTTATCTCACGTACATTATACAGACTGTTAAGTCCTGTACACCACAGAAATATCAGTGGGAGGGAGGGTTGGGGTGGGGTTTGATTGCAAACACTTTTTTGTTGTATATTTTTGTCAGAATATTCTCATAACAACTGAAAAAACAGATAAAAATACGTTTGTTTTGACTGCGAATTAATATTCACATGACTTTCGATAATATAGAAGACTATTATTATTATTTGAATTGTAAGTTTGAATATTATGTGAAATATTATACTTGATTATCAACGATAGGATTATTAAAGCAAATAGTTTTCCATACTTATCATTATTGGGATTGTTTGATATTTCCCTCTCTATGCCTTCACAATATAGTATATTGAATATACAATACTCATCTCTCATTCTCTTCCCCCTTTCTCTCTCTCTCTCTCTCTCCCTAAAGCATATACAGTTCAGTACACTATTTCACATTACGGGTAGGTTTTGACAGAGAAAGAGAGAAATCTCTTTCCGAAAGGTCTCTCTCTCTCTCTCCCTCTCTCTTCTTCTTCTTCTGTCTCATTCTCTCCATCACTAAAACTCTGTATTTCTCTCTCTCTCTCTCTCTCTCTTTCCTTCTCTATAAGACTTTATATTTCACTTTCACTAACTGTTAAGCTTTTGTCTAAGAAATTATATAAGAGTTTTGTTTTTGTCTCTCTCTCTCTCTCTCTCTCTCTCTCTCTCTGCCAATCGAACTGTGCATATATACTGGTGAATACCAGTGCCCACCGCCACCACCACTACCATCGCCGACACAAAGCAGCGAACATATAATGTATATACTGTTGGGTAAATAAGTGGGCAGAAGTTTAGTGGTAGCGGTAGTAAGTCTGGCATTGGTATTATGTAATACACGGTTAGCAGTACTGTAGATGCATTTAGTGTACTGTACACTACTATACAGTGTATGGCATTCAATATTTACCAAGAAGTGAGAAGTGTCAGAATAACTGTAAGAACAGCGCAAAACTGTATTACCAGAGCCATCACATCGGATGCACAGTTGGATAGTTTATATATATTGCCAGTGCTTCTGATTTTTGTGAACATCCCTGAGCTCTAGAAAGTGGTAATCGTCTGAAGAGCACTGGCATCGCATAGCATAACGCAAGCCATACAATAGCATCTGTAGTGGCGAACAGCAGTTGCCATACAAGCTGTGGCAGTCATACACAGAATCCAGTGATTATTATTATTATTGTGTGTACAGAATGCTAGAGCACCGGCATATATACAGTACATGTATACACACATACATACAGTATATGACGGCACTTGTATGTGTTGAGGGCTTTTAGCATTAAGAATATATCAATACATACAGAGTATATGCTGTTATATAATGCCTGTGCCTTATATATGTGCGGCACTTGGAGTGCGGAATTCACTGCTGATTTCATAACAAATAGTCGATCGAAACCAGACCTGCAAATTCTCTCTGTGTGCTCTCCCTTAACTCTCTCTCTCTCTCTCTCTCTCTCTCACTCACTCACTCTCACATATATATTTATGTATAGATATAATTTACATCAAAAACATCACATATACAGTATTGTCGTAATAAATGACACCTAAAACTAGTTAATCATATATTAGTTAATAAATGTTAGAAAAACCAGTCGTATGTGCAGTAGATGTGTGTTGTTATGTGCGAAAGGGAAAGGTATTAAATAATTTAAATGTATATGAAGTGAGAAATTATTGAAAAAATATAAAACATTTTGAAGAGAGAAATAGAGAGTCGATAGGAAAGGCAGGAAACTAAAGGAAAAAGTAGGAAAAAACTCTGGCTTTTAATGATAATAATAATGTGGCGGTTGAAGCGCATACTAGTCAATCAGCTGGTGCTGAGAGAGAGAGAGAGAGAGAGAGAGAGAGAGAG